CCTCTCCTTTATCTGAGACACTGGTGAATGAAGAAGGAGGAACAAACATAACTGAGTTAGCGACTGAATCTGAGGGACCAAACACACTCATACTGATCTGACATGCAACATTGTGAGAGGGATTTTATATCACATGCCTTTATTCTTGTGCAGTGTAATGTCTCTATGAGGCTGCAATAGAGTGTTTTGTGTAGTGTGTAATTATAAACAGGCTATTATGTTTCTTAGCACATACATTCAGCATAGGTGTTATTGGGTTATTATGTTGCTATTATTTGATAATGAGGGAAGAAGAAAGTCGATATGTAGTACAACCTAGTGCAGCATTTAGCATCTGATCCAATTAAATGTTAAAACACACAGAATAGAGTTAACATATATTCTTCTAGAGGTAGGTAGGGGTGTACGCGTGTACCGAGTATGTTTGATTATGCTCTCCTGTGCTGTGATTCCTTGGTGTGTGAAAGCAGGTGTCGGGTTCCAGCCCCCACTAAGCTCTGTGCTAATCACCTAATTAAAGCAATTAACTGCCTGATAGCCATGTTTTTGACATTTGGCACACACTGAACCACTCTAAAACTGCTGGACTATCAGACAAGCAAAGATCAGTGCACTCTTAAGTTCTCACCGGTTGGCTGTGACCTTCAGAAATCAGCTGTGATTGGCTTGATTTGCTCTGTTTGAACTGACTGCTTGGTGGTGTCCAGAATCCTTCAGTTTTACATCCATGGCCCTGTCCCAAATGCCACCCCAGACTTTCAGGTCCTGATCAGAGTCCATACTTTTGAGACGACAGCACATATGGTGACACATGCCAGGTAGTAGAACACAATAAAGTCTGCACCAGTGCGGGCTTTTCTGGAGAGTGACTGAAATAGATTAATATATTATATTAATTATTTTTATTGTATAAATAATATTACAGTATCACGTAAAATAATTATACAAATTATTATTTATTATATTTATTGTAATATTATTTTTAGTGGTGATTTAAATAATAATAATAATAAATATTAATTTATTATCTTATATTAATTATTAATGATTTTAATTGTATATCACCATATAATCTAAAATAATAATTAAAATTATTAATTAATATTATTTATTACATTTATTTTAATGTTTTAAAGAGGTGACTAATAATAAAAATACTACTATTACTACTACTACTAATAATAATTGCATTATTAATTACTGGAAATTAATATATTAATTATTAATTAGTTTGATTGCACAGTGTTATACAATCTAAAATCATAGTACCAGTTATTATTATTATTATTATTATTAATGATAATAACCATCACCATATTTAATATGTAAGTAACCTCTTATGCATTTGCAGATGTGAATATAAATCAACTCTAGATATAATTATTGTGACTAAAGAAAAAAAAATCAACATCACCCTTCCTGTCCTGACCCGCTACCCTTTCATACTGCTGCTGTTTGCATACTGCCCTCTAGTGGTGGAATGACAGGACTGCAGTGATGCTGTATTGAGATTGAGACCACTGAACAGGCACCTATTACACCACTACCTGATTAAATGCATTTCTGTGGCTTTGAAAATTTCATTTTTGTGTATATTGTTCATTGTCATACTGGACCTCAGCCTGTTCCCTTGAAGGAGAGATAGAGGGGCATTCATTGGTTTGGACACACAAAGGAAAAGGAGCACCCCCAATACTGAAGATGCAAAAGATGTTTGTGTGTGTGTGTGTGTGTGTGTTTTGGATGTGTGCGGCGGTGGCACGGGTCTACACAATGTCCTTGGGGCAACGTTCACCTCCTCTCCTCAGCCAATGCCCTGGAAAGCCCTGCTGTCAGGTCTCATAGCACGACCAGCCCACAGAGACCAGACCCGCCAGCCTGGGAGTTGAGGGCAGTCTGGGAGCATGGCATTCTGGGGGGTGCGGTTTTCCCTGTGGGCTCTTTTCCCTCTGTGTTACCTAAGGGGTGGGTGGGTGGTGGGGGGGGGTGCTCCAGCACCCTATCTGTGTGAAAGTTGCACACAGAAAGCCTGCAGCAGAAGAAAGCAAGAGCAAAAGAGAGAGGAGCGAGAAGAGACAGAAACAGACCTTCAGAAAGGAGACTTCATGTTGCAGGCACACTTATTATGCATTTAAATGTATCCTCAGTAGGCAGCTCAGAACACAATAAACTATTTTTGTCATTATGCTCCCTCGTTTCTGCTTCTCTGTTTGTTTAATCTCCCCCAAAATGTTTGCTGACTCCTTTCCACTCTCTCTCTTGGTTGTCAGATTGCGGAGACCTACGCATTTCTTCCACGTGAGGCGGTGACCCGTTTCTTGATGAGTTGTGGAGAATGCCAGAAAAGGATGCACATCAACCCCAGCACGGCAGAGTTCAAAGGTCAGATGCCATCCTTGCACTTTCATGCCTAAATTTACAATTTTTAATGGTTTTGAATGGTACACATGAATAAGTACCTCTGAGTAAATTGCCTGTTTTTGTTCATTTTATCCTTAATTAAAGTTTTGGGAGTGCATCGCCCTTTAGCGGTAATTAGGAAGACAAGATTTCCAAAATCTTTATTAAAGTCGTACTCTTTTTGATGAGCCACAGAGGCAAGACTAAAATTCTGCACTTCTACAGGCCCCTCGTAATTAATGCATGAATGATCCACCCCACACGCTTCCCACAGTAAAAATCTGATTAAAAATTAATTAATTAATTAATGAAAAATAATGCTAAAGGAAAAATGCACACAATCCTTCAAGTCATGACATAGCAGACGCTGATGTGATGACCTTCAAATATGCCTTCTGTCTGGATATTTGCATCAATATTTAATTCAGAGACAGTAGTGCTCTTACAATCGAAACAGCTTTATTATTATCATAGTGTTTTATGACTTATTAAATCAGCAGCACAGCAATAAGCACCTTTACTTGAACATGAATAAGAAGGAATTTGTAGAGATTGGGTCATTTTTCTACAGCTGAGATATTATGCTCTATATGCTGTAAGTCAGCTATCTGCGCAGGCATGACGTTGGTCTGCCATTAGTCACAGGCTGATGTGATTAATTCACACTGCCACAGATGAGCTTGATTTCTATAAAGCTGAAATAGTCTCAAGAAAGAAAGAAAGAAAAATGTATATATATATATATATATATATATATATATATATATATATATATACACATATGATTCCCAAATGTGAAAGCTAATTCACATTCACAAAAAAGTTTTTATATTTGCAAATAGCAATTTACAAACTCATAACCTAATTCATATTTACAAAACATGATTTGCAAATGCAAAACCAAATTTGTACCTTTGGAGAGAATGAATGTTAAACAAATTTTGAATAGTGAATTAGCTGATCAGCTCCTGCCTGCAGGGGTTTTTAAAGAATTGTGTCATCCCTGCTCTCCAAAGCAGTTTATATAATAGAAAATTCGCATTATATAGCTGCTGGGAACCCTGTAGAGTCAGAAAATCTGTGTCCAAACAAAGCCTGCCTGCATTTATTATGTTTGATTTTAACAAAGACCCAAGGGGGTTTCGGCAGGGTCTTTGGGAGCTTTGTCTCAAGAGCGCCTTCTAGAGGACCGAATTGAGTCATGCACACTATTGAATAGGATTGAGTGAAACTATATATAGAGTGGGGGAACTATGTCACTTTGCAGGCAGATCGGCTGTTAGCATCGCACTGGTTCCCTCGACAAAAAGCCAATAGGATTTTTCCATAGGCTTTCGGATTATCGCAAAAATTAAGCTCGGTGTTCAATCATAGTTCATGAAACTTACACGTTTTGTCCATCAAGATAGTCTTCACAAAATATTATAACTTTTATGAATTTTGATGCCTAAATAAAAGCGCCAGAACTTAAAAGCTAAATTTAGGCTACAAACGAACTACAGCACCACGGTCGCTCGCTCGCCACCACCACCTGCTCCCGACAACTTTATCAAACTTATTTTTAACACGTTCAGCGAAAAGGATTTAGTCTGTATTTGAATTTTAACCCACGCTACATGAACCTTTTCCTATAAACTGGAATAAATACAAAACTAGAGCCAAACTAAAACTGAAATGAGACATTAGTAATAAATAGTATAGTGAATAAATGAAATAATCATAACTAAAAGACATATGAAAGCACGTATTTCTGTACATTTCGAAATAAGGTGCATTAAAAGTCCTTGATTAATATGAATATTTTAATTTAAAATGTGTCTCCACATACTATTCAATAAAATTCTGGTGCATTTAATCTATTAAATAACAACAGAGTGAGCGAGTTTTTCGATATGGTAAGATTAAACTTATTTTAGTGAATAAAGTACCACATTTCAGCTATCGTTTTGTTAGGATGGGTACACAAAATGTTATTTTATCCTTGCTTCTAGAAAATCCTCAATCTATATGCTTCGTAACAGCTTCATGTGGCCGTGAACATTTCATTTTAATGTGGCTTTAAGCACTATGCATCGTTAAAGTTTCACTTTCACCGTGACTAAGCCGGTAAATGTGGTGTTTACATGGAATAATCATATGAGTTTACCTTATGGTGCGAACCCAGAGTCTCCGCATCAGTAGGAAAGTGATAAAACGAGCATCTTCAATCCGAAGACTTGTGTTGCATTTCGGGGCAAAGCAAAAAAACATTGTCGAACAACAATATAAAATGTGGGAAACTATTCATTGGTTATTCTACAATTAATTGTACTATAAATTATACTCTACGATTGGAAAATACAGTAAATTGATAAACTGTTCGGCGTTATGGCATTTAATGTCTCCGACAACGCCTGTAGTCCCATTTAGCAACTTGTTAGTCTTTTTAAAGAAACAAGTGGGGTGTAACTGGTGTGTTTTATGTCGTAGAATAAAACATGAAAGTATCTTGAGCTTGTGTGAACCACGGACCTTATTTTAGGGGATTTAACCAAACTCCCAATCAAAAAACCCATTGACTCTGGGACAATGGAACCGCAAGTCCTAAAATGCTAACTCGTTTCGGGGTTTTTGCCTACAAAGTGACATCATAGTTCCCCCACTGTATAGGCCTTCAAATTAAACAATTACTTGTTGGACATGTACGAAATGTGTCTTATGAATTAGATACAAATCTTCATAAGTAATAAGCTACCTTTCAAGTTTGGGGTTAGGAATTTTGTTGCTGTTGTTGTTTTGAAAGAAATGAATACTTCTCTCCAGCTAGAATGCATGAAATTGACCAGAAGGGACAGTAAATAAAATATTTCTATTTAAAATAAATGCTATTCTTTCAAACTTTCTATTCATTAAAGAATTCTGAAAAAATGTTTTATCGGTTTCCACAAAAATATGAAGCACCACAACTGTTTTCAACATTTATAATAAGAAGTAATATTTCTTTAGCAATAAATCAACATATTAGAATGATTTATGAAGGATAATGTGACACTGAAGACTTTTGAGAAATGGCTGCTGTAAATGCAGCTTTGCATCACAGGAATACATTCAATTTTAAAACATATTAAAACAGAAAACGGATAATATAAATTGTAATACTATTTTATAATATTTCTGTTTTTACATGCATTTTTGATCAAATAAATGAAGCCTTGGTGATCATAAGTATTTCAAGCATACGACTTTCAAAAACATAAAAAATTCTTACAGACCTCAAACTTTTGAACAGTCAATCAATCAATAAATGTGAACTTTCATTTGTTGTTTTTCACCCACAGAGAATGACCGGCCCACCTCTCTGGTCCCAGACCTCATCGATTACAACATGCCTCTCACTGCTACCTATCTAAAACAGATGAAACTACAGTGCATGAACACCAATGAGCAGGTAGGTAGAGCAAGAGAGTGAGAAATACACGAGCATGGAGTGAGAAAGAGATGCTTTGTTTTACAATACTATGAAAAATGTCTGTTTAGTTTTGTAAGCACATATATTGAAGTTAAAATCATTTTGTATTGAAGTGATGTTTCCAGTCTGTGTGTTTGCTGACAGCTGCTAAACCTGACTTCTAGAGACAATATATGATGCTAAATACGCCTCAGTATCTGGGCAAAGAATTTAATGTAAAAGCCACCTAGCTCTAAGAAACTGCGACAAGGCTTTATGGTGTGGTTGTCAAGGTAAACTCTTATAGACATGGTTGCCTCAGCAACAGTATATGTAATGCCTGGAATAGCAAGAGCTGGATGTGTCTGTGGGTCACTGTGCTATATAAATGGGGTGATGGTAAATACACAACTTCCATCCTTATGAAAGACAGTTCCTTATAGCACTGAAATAAAACAGTACATAGATGTAATTGTAAAGTAAAGAGCATGTATGTAGAATATTCACATTGTAGAATATGTTCATAAAGGAAAGCTAAAGATACACCAGAGCACATCACTGGGTCAAATGCATTTACAGCTCCCTGAAAAGCTATCAAGATTCTTCTTTTCCAGGATCACTTGAACTCCTTTCTGCATCTCATAACACAACATAGTATAAATGACATTGTAGTTAAGAAAGCTTAAAAAGATTGGATGCAAAGCGTGAAATGTACAAAGTTTAATTTATTTTATATATTTAATTTTATTTGTAACATTAAGAAATATTTAACATGCTGTTTGGCATTTAAATGTGTTTGAATAGGCAGTTCTTATTTATTTCTTTATGAACCAAGCCTGAACCACAACCCAATTCTAGATAACTGCAGTAAACTCTCCTAAACCAGTAGGAATATAGGTGGGTAGGTATATACTAGTAGGTATCCTATAGGTTTGTGGGTAGGGGGCGCCGTTGTACCACTCTCTATGAAATAAAAATAATCTGTACCATTTTTTGCATGGAGTTGGATGATTTTCCAGAGCAGGAAAAGACAAGACATTTCTGGGAGGTTAGCTGAACAACATGTTACTTTATCTATAATTGTTGTATTTGTTGAAAGCTATCTGTCCTCCGTGTTCAAAATATGACACAATTTGATGTACAATATGTAAATAAGTATGCAAAAATGAGATGTAGAAACCGACAGCACTATTATTTCTCTGCATGTCACGTGGCAAACAATCAGATTGCACAGGTTGAAGATTGTTTAGAGTGTTTTTTCCATTTTATTGCTTCTTTCTAAATGTAATTTACCCAACTATATGATGAGTTCTGGGATCAACATTCCTATCAACCAAACATTTCAGGGCTAAAGTTAGGATTAGGGCTGCAGCAGGGGCTCAGACAACATTCTTATTAACAAATCATTTCTCTCAGATTATAAAGCAGGTTATGGTTAGAGTAGTCTTACCTTCTGACAGCACACCAACTGTTGTTCAGTGACTTTCTCCATCTGGCATGCTCAGTTTTAATTGGCTGGATTTACGCAACTTCTGGAGTGGGGGCACACAGGATTTTTTGTTAGTCCGCCAGGAAACATTTCCGTCACACGCTTGCGGTATTCGGCCAATCACAATGCACTGGATAGCTGGCCAATCAGAGCACACCTCACTGTTCAGAACGATGAGCTTTGTAAAAATCGACGCGTTTCAGAAAGGCAGGGCATAGAGGAGAAACAATAATGTACAGTATGTGGAAAATCATGTGTTTTTTTAACCCTAAACCGCATAAATTTCATTACACCAAATACACAAATTAATGTTCTTTTTAGCAACATCATATGACCCCTTTAAAAGATACTCAGAGGTTTGTTTGAGGCACTTTGTAACAAGTAAACTAGATATTCCCATAGAGCACAATTATATTATTTGTTTTCAGAGCTACACTACTGTACAAAAGTTTGTGGTTGGTAAGATTTATTTATGTTTTTGAAATAAGTCTCTTATGCTCACAAAGGCTGCATTTATTTGATAAAAAATACAGTAAAATTAGTAATATTGTGAAATATTATTACTACATTAATATTTCTACAATGTTAAATAAGGTTTTCTATTTTAATATATTTTAAGATGTAATTTATTCCTGTGATTACTCCATTCTTCAGTGTCACGTGTTGCTTCTGAAATCATTCTAATATGCTGATTTGGTACTCAAGAAACATTTCTTCTTCTATTTTTTTTTAAAACAGCTGCATGTTAAGTTTTCTTCAGGATTCTTTGATGTATAAAAATTTAAAAAGAAAAGCATTTATTTGAGATATTTTTTGTAACACATGCACGTTCTTAAAGGGTTAGTTCACCCAAAAATGAAAATTAGTCCATAAATTACTCACCCTCAAGTCAACCTAGGTGTATATGACTTTCTTCTTTCAGACGAATCCAGTCAGAATTATATAAAAAATTGTCTTTGATCTTTCAAGCTGTTTCATGGCACTCAGTGGGTGTTGCATGCATCAGTCCAAAAGAAGTTAAATAAAAAGAAACCATCCATAAAAAAAGTGTCTCACACAGCTCCGGGGGGTGAACAAAGGCCTTCTGTAGCGAAGCGATGCGTTTTCGTAAGAAAAATATCCATATTCAAAACGTAATAATCACTTTAATGTAGCTTGCGCTCACTGTTGTACACTGGAAGCAGTTCCGGGGCGGATAATATATGATAATATATGAGCTGTAACTTTCCCGCTTACATGTTGCAAGCTTTATTTAACATTACAACTGACAATATAGGCTATGGAATACTCGGAGATATGCAAATGATTTTGTTTTGACGTCACTACAGGGAAATAACCTGATTTATTAATAGCCATGTAAACACAGTTTACTTACGTTGTCAGGTTACTGATTTGTGCATATAAACGGGGAAAACTGGTTATATTAATCAGCTGATATTTGTGAGTTATCAGCTTATTGGTGTGCACGTAAAAGTGCTCAATGTAAAAGTCTTTCTGTTACTTTTGATCAAGTTAATGCGTCCTTAATAAATACAAGTATTAATTTCTCATTTAAAAAATCTTGCTGACCCCAAACGATTGAACAGAAACCATGTATGTCTTCCTCTTCTTTTTGTTTTATACCTGCACCTTTTAACCTGCGACTGCATTGATCTTTTCTTGTCTGTCTTTTTTCCTTCTCTTTCTTATTGCTTGTGTTACTGATGCTCCACTTGGTACCTAATGGAGTCAGCAGCGCACACATCAGTCCTCTAAACAAACCTCAGATGGAACCCAATTTCTCACAAGACATTATGCACATGTGTGTATGTTTGCACATGCATGTGTTTTGTTTCACAGCTGTACAGGACAGTGTCAAATCACATTGACAAATGAACACCTGTCATGTTTTCAATCTGTACTTTAGATGAATGTTGGGATCATGATGATAATCGGTATAAAATCCATATGGACCCAGCATTTCAGGTCTCAGGCTTGCTGCCGCAATACTGCGAGTTTCAGAACAACAGGGGTCTCAAGCTCAAACTAATGCTTGATGAATCTGTTATGTTAAATCAGTTCATTTGTGACCATTAGCTCCTCTGTGGGGTCCCAGGATGTTTTGTTTCAGATCTCTTTCCTGTTAGCAGTGCAGTGCTGAAAAGGGGAAGTGATCCTCTGAGCGTTTTACATGGAGAGACAATTCACAGTGACAGTTTGGAAGTGAAATATCATAGTGATTTTTTCTTCTCTCACACACACGTCTCCATCTACACACCTGCATTTCTCACCTTCTCTTGACTCCCACTGATGATTACATTGTTCCAGCCTGCTCTACTCTTCAGGTTGCCATGGTAACAATAAACACAGAGTATAGATTAGTTTGTTTGTGTGTGTATGCGTGGAGAGAAAGATTCTTGGTAATGTGAGGCTAAATAAATTGAGCTTATTAGGAATTAGAATGTACTTTTAATTGTCAGGGCAAGTTCAAGTATTTTAATAAATAAAGCATGGACTAAAAGCATGGACTAAACATGGACCAGCACTTATTCTTACACACACACATCCACAAACACAGTATGTCAGCATGCATAGATGATGGACATCATATTTAAAAACATTTTTATGCTGAAAATTTTTTTTGTCTTTGATGATAATTTGATTTGATGATAGTTTTAATTAGAACACACTGATGACTAAAAAAAAAATGCTGAAAAAAGATGTCAGCAATGAGCTAACAATATTATTAGAAGAAAAATAATCCAGAAAGAACTTTAGCTGTAAGAGCTGAAAACTGGTCAAATTGATTTTCCTTAGCTTTCACATTTCGCACTTGAACTAAGTAGTTGGTTAGTCAGAATGCAATACGGTGTTGCTGTAACAGCGTGTTATAATGAAACACATTAGTTTCTAAAAAATAGCCAGTACTTCAACATACTCTTTATATGCATATATAAAGAGTATATTATGTTAATTCATATTCAAAATGTACAAAAAAATATTACGTTTTAGTATTTTGTGCTTTTTATTGTTTATATATATATATATATATATATATATATATATATATATATATATATATATATAT